TCATCGGGATAACCCACAAGCGTTATGTGCAGCGTAAGTGGCCGTCATACTACGTGCAGTGTGGCATTGCAACCAATATGGAGCGGGCTAATGAAATAGCATCGGTTCTTCTTTGCTGGTCTGTACGGTATAGTATGGAACGGGGAATCAGTTAACCGGGCGGCTTGCAAACTGCGGACTTGTGCAGCTTCTGTGCAAGCGCCATTGCCATCCGGGTCGATAGGTATTAATGACACAAGCAGGCTGAACGCGTTAAAGGGGTTACGGTAAATAGCACCGCCGATTGGTGTGTTCGATCGTAGGTTGTACAAGATCACTCCCGACGACGAAATGGCTCATCGTAGATTGTCGGCAGCTTTGACTACGTTTCTCAACACCCTCATCTCCTGCTGATATTTTGCCTGAAGCGCCCAACCTTGGGAAAATAAAGGAAGGTACAAATGTCTTGAAAAGTAAATCAAACCAAACAAACTAACCTATGTTGTAGTTAGAGGCCAAAGTTTACCGTTCGATACGAAAGCTTCGTCAGGCCAAGTGAACCAGGGGGTGATTGGTACTGCTTTTTTAAGAGAAGGGACATTAACGGTTATCGAGATGCCAGCAGGATGTTAGTCACCTTACAGGTCAAAGTGTCATTTTACGTGGCGCATTAGAGATCCCAGGTGGTTCCGTGTACGAGGTCACCAAACTTATGGGAGGAGTAGGATTGGTTTGATATTCGCGCTCTGCCCCAGATCCTTTCACCAACGCCATTCAAACTCCACTCCATCCACTGCCTACGCAGCTTTAGACCTTGGCAATTTCCGACACCTTAACAGTCAGAGTTTGGGGTGTGGATCGCAAAACCTTCCTAAAGATTTCGACATTATGCGTGTCGATTTCATGCCCCGTGTCCTCCTATCTGCAAGGACTGTGTCATTCAAATGCTCCCATGTCGAATGGACCGTTTGACCCTACTGGCAAATCATCCTTATTTTTCCTTCGTTTAATATCCTTCGATAGCTTCTGCAATTCTCCCTTTATAAGGACAGCCAGCATAGGTGGCTGATCGGACCAATGCTGTCAAAAAATTTTGCACTGTGAAGGTGTAAAACCATGCACCGGCTACACGTCAGTCCAATTAGTTTGCTTAGATAACCCCTGTGTCCCACCCAAACAGGGTTATTTCGTCCGTATACATAAGGTTTGTCAGTCGGTCACATGACAGAACTTCAAGTACCATAGCTAGGTACTTCACTGATGTAGCAGAGTGCAATCAATCATTGTTACTAAGCCGCTTGGGGCACTGTGTAGAGAGCTGCACGGACCTAGCTCCTATGTGTCGCGAAAAAGCATATATGACACTAGGACGCATTAAGAGACAAATGACGAGCTTCGGACCAACTATTGAGGTCATTTTGCAACCTCAGAGAGCAAACGGCTTTTCGATGATCGATACCCAGGACGATGTCGTCAGCATATTTTATTAGGGTAACATCTGCGGGGGTTAATATTGGGCTGATGTAAGTAGGTTCAAGAGAAGGCAATGTTCTTCACAACATATCAATCAACCTCATTGAATGGTTTCATGCAAATAATTTTGTTTCTCCTTTGACCCTGGCGTATCCAAGTAATGTGGCTGCTTGACCAGCTGTCTAAATTTCCTTTTTTGATATCTGCTGGCCTTGAAAAATTCAACGTCCGCGCGGACAGGTTCTCCTCCCCCATTGGAAGAGGCTGCGTTGAGGTAAGGAGAGAACGTACGAAAAAAAAAGTCATCTCAGTGAAGTCTCACTGTTCGTACAACGGAAGAGCTACGCCGTCTCCATCAAGTGTATATCCAGTCTATTCTTGGGAGCCGCAGCATCACATCGGTATCAAGAAAAGGATCCAACGAATGTTGATCCGTCGCTTGCTCTTCTGTTGCCTATAAGCCTCAAGAAGATTCTTTAAATGATGCTATCGCAAACCCGTTCGAATGAGCCCCTTAAAAAGACTTATGGTAATTAGAGATCTACAGTGGATACAGTGGCCCGCCTCATACGTTCTATACTGCCATGACAACGGAATCAGATCAACGCATACGTGTTTTCTTGAATACAACAACGCATTCTGCTATTGTAGGACTAGTAAATACTAGTCCGAGATGGTGTGCGAAATTAAGCGCGGATATCAGAAGGCAATCGGAGTCGGACACAGTGGACTGTATTTGATGGACAATGGACAATGGTTTATTACGGGTAAAAAAGCATCGCTTAACAAGTCCCGTGGGTTACAAGAAGACGGATGAAGCGAGGAGAGCGTACATCGGTGTCGGAACCTACCGCGGGCACAAGTGATGAGCCGGACTTAGGTATAAATGGCCGTGGGATCACCGTTAAAATAAAAACCAATAAGGTACGATTAAGTAACAAATTTGTGCACATGAAGATAAGAAAGATCTCTTGGGTTGCTACAGAGCTCCCCTCCTAGAAGGCCGAACCAGGAATACTTCGAAATCAACAATGGTCGTGGATCGAAGTTCGGAGAATAAATTCGTATGCAAAGGAATATCTAATTAGAGGGTCAATTATGGACTACGCGTTGTGTGATTGGATTGCGAGGCGCAATCGTAATGTGGGCTGCAATTCGCATTGAGGTGAAGCATAGGCAATGCGATCACCTGAACCGTAGTCAAAGCAGGCGGAAATGTGGTGTTGCCTGCCAGAAAACTCTACACAACCACGACGCGTTTCGATGTAATTTCATCTAATCAGGTGGAGACAGCAGGCCTCGATCCCGCGACCATTGGAATAGTAGCCGAAACCTCTACTCCCATGGCTACTGGGTCACGGCCGGCAACACTTGGCACAACGGTAAATGACTAGTCGAAGGGTCAATTTCAGACGACACGCAATTCGATCACACAACGTGTAGTCCAAAATGATCTGCGTGTTGGGATTTTTTGGTTTTTGAATGTTTTTTTTCAAAAAAAGGTTTTTCAGAGGAATTTGCTTTTGTTTGTTTTCAAGATGTTATTCGACCAAAAACGGGGTAAATGTATACAATATCTACAAACCTAAACGTATTTACACTGTACCTAGTGGGAAAATTGAACGGGATTATGCACCTCTCGACCACGGCGATTGGTTGTCGGAGGCGGGGGACTAGATTCGAGAGATGTCGGGACGGCTGATGCTCGTAGACACCGGGATCGTGGTCTAGTTGAACTACACTAGAATGCTAAAAGTTGGCGCCGTGAGTTGTGACGTCGCATGAAGCACTAATAGACGAAGTAGGCGAAGTGGTTTCTTCCATAAAGACAGGCTTCAGACGATCGATGGTGACGACTTCGCGTCGGCCATCGCGGTCAATAGTGTAGGTCTTATTCGCACGCTGTAGGACTTTTAAAGGTCCTATGTATGGTGGCTGAAGAGGCTGTCGAACACCGGCTGCGCGAAGAAGGACGTGTGAACACGTAGACAGTTTCTCGGGCACGTACACTGGTGTGTTCCGCGATGGAGGAGCGGGTGGACGTAGCTCACGCACCTGGTGAGCCAATCGATCGGTGTAACTTCCGTAGTCAAAAGAGGAAGTAGACGGGGCTGGTGCTATCAGCTATCCTGGCAACCCCAGCGTGCAGCCGTAGATTAGATGCGCTGGTGTTGCGTCGAAATCCGTTTTAACCGTGTATTTAAGCCTAGGAGGACGGGAAGTTTCAGACCATGGAGGATCTGCGTGCGCACGTAGTGCTTCCTTCAGCTGGCAGTGGAAAAGCTACACCATGCCGGTAGCGGCCGGATGATACGTCGTCGTTTGAACGTGGCGGCAAGCTAAGTCCTTAAACAACGAAGCAAACGTGGACGAAAACTGTGACCAACGATCCGTGGTCACTATGGCAGGGAGGCCATACTGTGCGGCCCAGGGTTCTAAGAACGCTTTCGCGACTGTTTTTGAAAGACAATTTGGGATAAGGACGGCCTCAGGCTATCTAGTGAATCGATCGACACAGGTCAGTAGATAGACACAACCATTCGAAGGCGGCAGAGGACTTACGAGTGACGTGCACGTGGTGAAAACGTGCATCTGGGATGGGAAATGTTCCTACTGGGCTTTTCTTGTGATTATGCACTTTCGTACGTTGACACGGAAGGCGAGCAGCTGCGCAAGTAGAAACGTCACGATTGACATTGCGCCAGACGAACTGTGAGTTTAACCGATGCGTGAACGGCTGGATGAGACAAGCCGTACACGTGTCAAACACGGCCTGCCGGAACTCGCGTGGGACGACTGTGCGCGGCGTGTCAGAGATAAAGCGCAAAGTATAGTACCGTCTGATGATCTTAACGGAACAGGTCACATGCCTGGTGAGGGAGACCTGCGTATTATATCAAACTCAGGACCATTGATTTGAGCTGCGGCCATGGCTGTCAAATCGACAGCGGTGCCGCAGAGATCGCTTGAATTCGGGAGAGACAGTCCGCAACAGTGTTATGCACCCAAGAAACATGTCGTATACCGGTCGTAAACTGAACGATATAGTCTAGGTGGCGAGACTCTCTAGGAGGCTTTCGGTTGGTAGTCGAGCTAAGCACGTAAGTCAGGGGTTTGTGGTCCGTGAAGACGGCAAAGGAGCGGCCTTCTAAGACATGTCGGAAATGACGTATGGATAAATAAATGGCTAATAGTTTTCTACCGAAAGTGCTGTAACGAGATTCGGCGGGTTGCAAACGCTTGGGGAGAAATGTCAACGGCTGCCAAACGTCAGAAGCCATGAAACTTGGAACAGCCAAAGCAAGCATGTTTACGCTGTGAAACGACTCAGATGCAACTTTCGAAATGTGAATCGAAAAGATCGAGGATGAGAAAACACGATGAAACTACTATATCGCAAGAAACAAATGAAAACACGTATATAATCGAGAAAAAAGAAATGAATTCACCAAAAATACAAACGACGAAAAACGTTTAAATTGGTGCATGCGAATCGGGGTCACCAATTTGTAGGACTAGTAAATACTAGTCCGAGACAGTGCGAGAAATTAAGCGCAGATATCAGAAGGCAATCGGAGTCGGACACCGTGGACTGTATCCGATGGGCTACAAGAAGACGCGGACGGATGAAGCGAGGAAAGCGTAAGTCAGCGTCGGAACTCACGATGGACACAAGTGATGAGCCGGACGTAAGTAAAATTGGCCGCAGAGTCGCTGTTAAAATAAAAACCAATAATGTACGATTGAGTAACAAATTTGTACATAAAAAGATAAGAAATATCTTTTGGGTTGCTACACTGTGCAAACCGCGAAATGATACCGAAAGATCTATTCATTCAAGGAATACATCTGCCTATCATTTAATTACTGAGTGATTATTTTACTGGACGCACTTATATTACACGAGTCAGTGGCAAATGCTCCTGCACACTAATCACCTACTTGGGTGTTCTTCAAGGAGAACTTCTATCGCCTTATCACTCTCTACATACATCAGCTCAATAATAGCCCTTGTAGCAAAGCAGTGCCTCCTCAACTTGTAACAAAAGTGCCGCAGCCCTATTTCGGTATTCGTCTTCTCAGTAGAGCGCCGCTCAAAACATGTATCTTTTACGCAAGGGGCTATCTGTCAACCCACAGTTCAGTAACAAATCGCGCAGGACCGTTTTGTCGCTTTCTGCAAGCACACCACAGGCCCCACAGTTCCGGATCATTCGCAGTCATGCACCTGTGACTGTTTTGATATCCGGACATACCGAACTTGCCCGAGCACTGGTATGTCGTCCTAACCTTGTCATACCGCAACCCTTGTCTTCTGTTACTCTTATTGGGTATAATAAAGGGGATTTCCTGTCTAAAATTATGTTCTCGATCAAGGTGCGTTCGAAAGCGCTTACTTGAATCGGCTGAGATTTTAGCGATCAGACTATACAAGCCAGGAATGTGTGTCCGTAAAAGGTTCGCTCACACGCTGTGCCTGACTTGACCCAGACGAACTGCTCCGTCTGCACGTGCAACATCTGTGTCCTTGTGTAAGGTGATTGACAGTGACTAGTGACTGTAAACTGTGTGTTTTACCGGTCCTTGTGCTGTGTCTATTTTTTGGTCCTTCTTGCATATACTTGCACTAGCCTGAGAAAGAATTATTGAAAAGCTATGTTCACTTGAGCCATTGAGTTTTCATCTGTCAGTGGAATATTTTTACTGCTGTGAAACACTACATACACCCAGCTGTTTTGAAATAGCTCAAACGAATATGTGAGCTTCAGAACCAGGTTAGCGAAAGCGGATGTACACCTCCATTTTGTAGAGGATTGTATTATAAACTCTATTTATTCAGCGAGTTACTGGAAATCCCTTCGTCGTGCACGTATCACGCATTTCGTATAGTGAGGAAGGTCACCCTCACACACGCGTGACGTGCGTGCTACTGGTTCATTTGGATTATTTCCCTCTATCCTCTCTCCATCTTCTCGCAGCGTTGTCACTGTACGCTCATTCGAACCGGATTTACCAGCTCTACACAGTGATCCATCATACGTGGAAATATCTTCTACGATTAGAGGCTGCACCATCGCCAACCGTTTTCATTGGCATCTGTGATTAAGCGCAAGCGTTTAATTCAATCGTATTGAGCCGATTGCCATTCTGTGTGACACCATTCGATACAGAATTCTCGAGGCAGGCCGAAAAGCCTAAGCTTACTCCGATCCAGTGTTTCTCAACACAGCTGTGAAAGAATCTGTGATCTGTCAATCTGTGTTCAGCGCTCTGTTCAGGTTGCAGTCAGTCGCCATACCTTGTCAGCCAGTGCGGCTGCATTACCCATCACACGGACCGCGCGACCACGCCGAACGCTCAGTTGACCTTTCAACCACCACGCTCGCCTGACCGATGTGCGCCGCTCTCAAAGCTGTAAAAGTACAGAACGCTAACCAACCCACTGGGTCAGGTAACGACACCAAATTGAATGGCAGAAAGGCGAAACCGAAGAGACTCCCATCGAAAGGCATTTGCGGGTTAGGAGAATGTCATCGGGTAGTAAAAATCGGTCTAGCTTGTTCGCACTGTTTGGAATGGTACCATACGAAATGTGCAAATGTGTCCCAACAACAGTTACGGGAGCGAAATAGCTCCCAAGATGCATTTTGGTTCTGTACTGCGTGTTCCACCATCCCCCTCGTTAAGTGCTTGCTTATCCTAGCTGAGAAATGCGACCGGTTAATCGCAGAAGCGGAGCAGAGGATAAACAATAAGATTACTTCAATGGAAGCGAGTATGGACCACAGAAGCGTAGCGGCTGCTAAGCAACGGAATGCTGAACAAATCGCTTCCCCTGCACCGCAATCAGCCACGTCTCCATCTCCGTTGTCTTCTCCAACTTTGGTAGAACGCCGGGCGAAAACAGAATGTACCTACGTGAATCAAGCAGTACTCACAGCAAAGAAAATCAGGCACCATTCAAAACGTCTGGTTAAGCAAATTCCACTAGACCTGACATCTAGTATTAACAAGGATGGAGCAGCCAAACACCAACCCTTGGTACCTGTAGCTCAAATATCTCTTGTCGAGACTAAGCCTCCCAGAACATCGGTTACATATGCAGAGATTGCTGCAAGGGTCCACCGAGAGGCCGCCGTTGCGTCCTCTTCCATTGTAAACACCGTTAACGCAAATAGAGAGAAAAACAGCAAACAATCACTTGTCAACAAGTCAAGACAAATGAGTACCATAACTTGTAGATCGATTAAAAAGGGATCCAACAACAGTGCCCGGACTGTTGTATGCTCAAATGTCCCTGAATCTACCGCCATCACATTGCGGGATAAGTTATCAGACGACCAAGACCAATGGAACTCATTGTGTATGCAGATGAGTATCAAAGCCAAGCCCATAAACTTGTTACGAATTACTCGTCATCCGAACTCGCCACACTATGGTGAACCCAGACTTATTCGAGTAACTCTAGAATCCTCCACCGACGTAGAAAACGTTTTGCTCTCCGCAAGCGCGCTAAAACACGAATCCTGTGGGATACGTATCTATCCTGATGTCCCTTGGAGCGCGCGACAACCAAAACGAAACACCGAAGAGGGGCACAGCAAGCAAGACCGTCTAAACACAATCTTCATACACGGCGTGCCAGAACATCCTTCTAACGATGTTCAAGAGACCGGAAAGCACGATTTAGAACAGTGGCGGTTCATTCGTGAAACACTTTCTTTGGATGATGTTGTGGCACTATCGCTCACCAGGATACCTCTCTCATCAAATTATAGAGGATGCGGCCCTAGAATCCTAAAACTTGTGGTGCAGTCAGAGCAACAAGCAAAGGATGTTTTGGATCGATGGCGGAGAAATCGGAAACATCTTCCCTCCGAAATTCGGTTAAAGGTCGCAAACAATTCGCACAGCTCAAGTATTAAAGCAACTGAAGCAGCAAGCATCCTGACGAATGTACAGAAGTGTAACTTGACGGCTGCTTTAATTGACTCTGACGTAGATCTAAACGAAGGCTGGGACGCACCTTGGCCGAATCAAGTTGCAAACGAGGTATCACTGACCCATCAAAAAAACGAATAACTGCCGACCTCCCATCGGTCGGCATTCTCCCACACTTGACAGCTTCACCTCTCTGCGGGCTCCTAGAGACCGAGAAACTGGCCTGCTTGTATACGAATGCTCAGGGACTTTCTAACAAACTGGCTGAACTGAAAGATCGCCAAGCTTCCGGCTCGTATGATGTCATTGGTGTCACCGAGACATGGTTGCACACGGGGATGACGGACGCTGAAGTGTCGCTACCCGGCATGTCGCTGATCCGGAACGATAGGCTCACAAAAGGAGGAGGGGTAATCCTGTACTACCGAAACGACTTACAGTGCGAAGCCGTGGAGGATTCAGATTCGCAGTTCCCCGACTCTCTTTGGTGCCGCTTGCAGTTAAAAGGCAGGGACGCTTGCCTTATTATCTTGGTGTACCGCGCCCCGAACTCAACACCCGAAACCGACTACCACCTAATGGCTGCTTTAAGGTGCAGTTTACAACAAAAGTACACTCACATTCTTATCATGGGTGATTTCAACGTACATTGTTTAGAAGCCCCTGCCACGACCGGAGAACAATTCAAAACCGATTTACAAGATCTAGTAACTACTGTTCCTCTTTACAACCACATCACTTTGCCCACTCGGTTCAGAACTGGTAACAGGCCATCTGTGCTAGATCTTGTGCTTACCAACGAGGAGCATATGATTGATGTGTTGGTTTTAGACTGCCCACTGGGTCGCAGTGATCACGCAGTCATCAGTTTCAACTTCGTCTGCTATGCAGAATATCGGAATGATAACGATGATACTGTGCGAACCATCACAAGGTACGACCGACTCGCCCAGCTAGTCAGCGCCACAACATGGTCTTTCCTCGAAGAAGAACCCCCGGAACTCGCCTGGCTCGAGTTCGTCAACACATTCAGTCAGCTGATTGCACAGGCTTCAGAGATAAAAGCTTGCAATAAGTGCAAATCCGTTTCTTTCGTTAGGAGCAGAACCCGAAAATGGATGACAGTACGCAACGCAGCATGGCGAGTGTACAGAGAAGCTCCAACACCAGAAACTTGGGACAACTACGTAGCCCAACGTAACCACTGCACTCAACTGTTAAGAGAAGACAAAGCCGCCTATCAGCAGAACATCGCAAAAACCTTCAGTGCTAACCACAAACTGCTGTACAAGCACGTTAATAGCCTACGAAAGGTGAGGCAAGGATTTCCTCCACTCAAGACGGCTGATGGCCCAACAAGAACGTCTATGGAAGCTGCAAACGCGCTGCAGATGCAATACGCCCCCATGTTTCAAAGGGTCTTGCCACCAAGCGATCTACCAAGCTTTGTATTCTGCTCACCAGGACTAACCCACATCAATTTTACCGCAGAGGCTGTATTGCAAAAGCTGACTTCTCTACGCAAACACAGCTCGCCGGGTGTCGACGCCATTCGTCCTGAGGCATTGGGAGCAGCAGCAAACCAACTGGCAGGACATTTAGCTCAGTTTTTTCAGCACTGCTTAGACCAGAACCAAGTTCCAGCCATGTGGAAGCTTGGAATAATAAGCCCGATTCACAAAGGTGGAAGCAGAACTGATCCTTCCAACTACCGCCCAGTAACCCTTCTTCCTATACTCTCCAAGGTCATGGAATCCATAGTTGCCGATGCA